CAGGCACCTATAGGCTTCAGGAGACCAATAAGGGGATGCTGTGCTTATTGTACTTTGTGTAAGAAAACTTATAAAATGCTTTACCAAATGTATGATGGGGCTCCCGGTCCGTTTTTTAGGAATGGAGTCCAGCTATATGTTTTTAATAAATTGGCTTACATATAGACTGATCGATGCACCGTCTTATCTGTTATTCCTGCCGGAGAATCGGGACCGAAATTGGGTGGTAACAACAACAAGAAGTGGTTTCTCTTTGCCTGAGGCCCTGGAGCCCTGGCCATCACTAGCTGGAATAGGCAAAAGTGAACCACAGCGGTAAACAGAATGATGTAAGAGAAGAAGGTGTCTTCACAGTATGACAAGTTAGATATCACACAACTTTTTAAAATCAAAAGGAGGCTTTTTAAAAAGGGGGCTGCGGCTCCTGCTCCTGCCATATTGTGGTGCTCCTAGGACCGGCCCCCCAAAAAAGTAATTTGTTCCATCTCTGTTGTGTTGTGATTAGCAACACCCTTGAGCAGGTGGCTGAAGGTTTGATATGTCAGTTCTGCTCTTGTGAATTTCGTTGTATGGTATACTGTGTATATACTTACAATGACAATAAATTATATTATTATTATTAAAGAGGCAGCGGTCTCAGGCCACAAATGGTTACGGCATTCCTTTGCTGTTGTTTTTCCTCTGTAAGGAACGGAGAGACGTGTCTGTGGGTTTTTCCTGCTTCCTGTAGTAAAATAATCTGGCTGTCGCTCGGTCCTGTCCATCTGGATTTGGATCGGATGCGGCAGGGGTGCCATTTGGGCGCCAGTTTCTTGGTTCACCCGAGGCCAGGCTTGGAAAAGCTCTGAAACCAGATCCTTGGTCTAGATCCATGGTTCCCAACCTAGGGTGAGTCAGATGTTCCCGGACTGCCATTCCCAGAAGGAGTTCACCTCCAGCTGTGCTGGCCTGGGTTTTCTGGGAGTTGCAGTCCGAGAACTTCTGGTGACTCAAGTTTGGGAACCGCTGGTCTAGATGGTTTCTCGAGTAGCATCCCTGGAGGATGAGAACAAGCTGTCTGAATGCGTGATCACATCAAGATCGGTTTTCTGGGATGACCTACAAAGGGGCCGTGGCTCTGATACCACCTAAAATCTTGTGTCTTTGGAGGTTCAACCTGTGGTGCCCGCTTAGAGGCTACAGTTGTGTGGTGTGCCCACGAGGCATCACTTCCCGCCACCCACCCAGCCCGTTGCCCTGGGCTTACTCTGATCCTGCTGTTCCTGGCATGTGAGGCTGATGGCAAAGTCCCTCTTTGCTGGCGTTGGGCGGGGACATAACGGCACGGCCCCAGCTTGGTGATTTTGACCCTCACGATGCCATGTGTCACCCGCATGGCTGATGTTGCTCAGGGCTGTGCTGCCATGCTGCTTTCTCCTCTGCTTTTTCTCGGGGCATGCTGGGAAGAGGGGGGGCCCTTTGTGATGTGTCACAGCAGCAGGTGTGCTAGTCTCCAAGGAGCGGTCATTCCTACAACCACAGTTTTGGATGGGGACTGCTCCTTTACTGTCCTGGCATTTGGAGTGTGTGGGGATTGATGACAGAGAGAGAGAGAGAGAGAGTCTGGCATAGCAGCAATGAACTGGCTTCTAATTTTTTTAATGCTTTGTTGCTTGTTGTTGTTTAGTTGTTAAGTCTTCGTGACCCCATGGACCAGAGCACGCCAGGCCCTCCTATTTTCCACTGCCTTCTGGAGTTGGGTCAAATTCATGTTGGTCGCTTCAATGACCCTGTCCAGCTAACTCATCCTCTGTCATCAACTTCTCTTCTTGCCTTCACTCTTTCCCAACATCAGGGTCTTTTCCAGGGTGTCTTCTCTTCTCATCAGATGGCCAAATTATTGGAGCATCCATTCTTCGGCCATCAGCCTTTATGATCCAGCTCTCTTTTAAGGTTTACCTGCTTCTAATTACTCGGTGCATTTTAATTTGTGTATACTGTAATTTAAAATGTTTACCTGCTTCTAATTACTCAGAGCATTTTAATTTGTGTATACTGTAATTTAATTGCTTTCATTGGGCAACTTATTATGTTTGTAATTCTAGTCCTTAAATATGGTGAGCTGCCTCGGGTCCCCTTATCAAGAGAAAAGTGGACCCATCAATAAAACAAATCAATAAAGTAATAAATAATAACTACTCAAACCCACATCTCATTGGTTGGTGATGGGCTACTGGTTTTCTCACAACCTGGCCCATCTACAGTTGGATGATAAAGAGTAGTATGGGATGATCAGACCAAAGGCCCATCTCGGCCAGGCTCCTGTTTACACAGTGACCAACCGTTCGCTTCTGGGAAGCCAGGGTACGAGTGCGAAAGCAGCCAACGGTCTGTTTTGTTTACGACTTGCTTGCAGAGCCATCCTTCCATTGATCTTGGCCCTAACCTCCAGGAAGGACTCTAATTCTCTTTTCAACCCACCCACGTTGGTGGCCAGCTGCTCATCCCCTTGGCAGTGAATCCTGCAGCTTAGCTATGCTCCAGAGTAGGGAAGCAAACCTTTACTTGTCTCCTTCTCAAATACAAGAGCAGGAAACTGCACGAATTTACTCCTCACCTGCCAACAGGATGATATCTTTTAAGCCAGCTTAGTTTATCACTGCACTAAAGTTTCCTGAAGAAGGAAAATATGACTGTTAATTCTTGCAGAAGATTACGCGATGCTGAGTGTCACATCCTATGTTTGTTTTGTGATTGGTCATTGGGAGGCAAACCTGGGCTTTATTTGCAAGTGTGAAGGCTCAAGCATGGGGCTTTGAAGGAACCGCGTGTCTGGTGGGAAACTGCTCTAAGAGCAAGGAATGTGCATTTTCCTTATTGTGTGATTTGCTCCTCAGTGGTAGAGCCAGGCTTGGGTTATCACAGCCAGCTTAGGATATCACTGCACTAAAGTTCCCTGAAGAAAATATGACTGTTAATTCTTGCAGGAGATTACGTGATGCTGAGTGTCACGTCCTATGTTTGTTTTGTGATTGGTCATTGGGAGGCAAACCTGGGCTTTATTTGCAAGTGTGAAGGCTCAAGCATGGGGCTTTGAAGGAACCGCGTGTCTGGTGGGAAACTGCTCTAAGAGCAAGGAATGTGCATTTTCCTTATTGTGTGATTTGCTCCTCAGTGGTAGAGCCAGGCTTGGGTTATCAGTTGGGAAGAGACAGCAGTGTCAGATACTGGAGAGGTCAGGCTGACCAGAAGAGACTAGACAGGTCTTTGTATCTGACTTTTTTCTTCTTTATTGGCACCACAGCCCCTAAAAACATGTAACCGGCTTGCAGAATGCAGGCTATCTTGGCCAGATGTCAGATTTAAACCTTGCTGACCAGGCTTCGGATCTGATGGTGAGATTTCAGTGCAATCCATGTACACAGCATCTTGCAGTATGATCCATGTACACAGCATCTTGCAGCATCTTGCTTTTGGTCTTCAAAGGGAAAGAGTCAGAAGGAGCAAAGACTTTGTGCTGTGGGCCGTGTGATGATGGGTTGCGATTGTCCAGAAAAATGATATGAAAATGATACAAGGGCCCGTAAGCAGAGAGTGGATGCTGGCGAGACTGAGCGTTGTTGATGGGGCAGTTCCCGAGTCCAGGAAGATACAGGCTGTTCCGGGAGGAGTTGCACCCCCTCACTCCCAAAAGGCAGATGTATAAATTGGGGACGCTGGGAAATTGCATCAAATTCTTGGGTACAGATAGCTCAGTGTTTTCGACCTCTGGCTGCAGGATGGCCTCCATGATCCATCCATTGGGTTTCTTCCAGCTCTGCAGTTCTAAGATGATGATGATGAGCAGATGATTCCCCAATCTATTCAGCCCCCTAAGGGTGCAACCGCCTTGACATACAGTGCAGATGATTCCCCAATCTGTTCAGCCCAAGGGTGCAACCGCCTTGACATACAGTGCAGGAAATGCTGTGAGAATGGAATAGTTCAGTTCTCATTTTTTTTCCTGTTGACTTCATGATGGAAAAGCCAGTGCCAATCAGCCAAGACTTCTCTCCCATCTGTAATTTTTTCCTCCTCTGTCACTGGGGTGTCTCCTTTTTTTCCATGGCAGATCCATTTGCATTGGTTCAGGCCGTGTGATCTCTTGAACTGATGCAGAAAAGTGTGTGCTGGTGGTTGGTGGGATTGCAGTTGGGGGACAGTGTTAATACACTGGGACGACTGGATCTTGGCAAAGAATGTCATTTCCTTTTCTTTCATTGTTTTTAAGGCTTCAAGGCACCACTGTTGTGCTATGACTGTTTGACACAAAAGAGAGAGAATGGAGGAAATTACTATTTGTCCCTTGTTTACAGCTTATTAAGGTAGTTCTGCTGTTGCTATGGCTCCTGGAAATCAGGAGGCCTACAGCAGAGCTATGTTAACAAGCTGCAATAAAGACTGTTTGTCAGTGTCCTCCTCTCTCGCAATGTGACCAATTAATGCAAATTTACCTGACTTCCAGGTGCGACTTTACAGCCGGCCAATTTGTATTTTTCTTGTTATGTAGTTGCACCCTAAGTCTTACTAGGGAGCATATGGAGCTTGACATATAGCCAGACCCCACCACAATTGCTTTATATATACCTACCTTTTAATGGAATTGTAGAACTGATTTCGTATACTGAAAATAAGCCCACGAAATGGCCTTCTCTTGCTCACAGTGCTGCGTTAGAGCTTAAAAGGTTGTTTACCTGTGTGCAATACTTTTGTTGTTCCAGCAAACTGTTCGACGATCCTATTTGTCCTGAAAGATTGTTGGTGGGACAACATGGCCACGACAGGGATGTATAAACTGGATGATGGCAACTCTTTTCCAACCAACTGCTTTCCTGCCAGAAGTCTTTTACGCCCCAGAGATCAAGAAGGTAAAGTATCTTGACATCTGATAGTCATCGGAAAAAAATCAAAAGAGCTTTTACGCTTAGGTAAATATCTGGATGTGCAAGCAGGTTGCTGCTTAAAGCTATCTGTGCACGGACCGGTTTGAGAAGTAACTTTTTCAGGCTTCTTTAAGCCCAGGCACGTTGTATCTCGATACCTGGTTATATGAGAGCCCGGCCACCTGGAGCACTGGATCAAATTTCCTTGCCTCCGTGATGCTGGTGCCACATCCCAATGTCCACGTGACACAAGGCTGAAATGAGGTGCTGGTCCCCCCCTCTATTTGACACTGGTTAGGCCTCACCTTGAGTATATTGTGTCCACTTCTGGACACCACACTTCAAGAAGGATGCTGACAAACTGGAACAAGTCCAGAGGAGGGTGACAAGGATGATGATCAGGGGGCTGGAAACCAAGCCCTAGGAGGGGGAAAGATGGAAAGAACTGGGCCTGTTTAGCCTTGAGAAAAGAAGAGGGAGGGGAGGGAGGAGAGCATTTTTCAGACTTGAAAGGCTGGCCTACAGAGGAGGGGCAGAAGGAGGGGCAGGATGTCGGGATCTGTTCTCGATCATCCCAGAGTGCAGGACCCGCAACAAGGGGCTCGAGTTAAAGGAAGCCAAATGTCAGTGGAATCTCAGGAAAAACCTCTCAACTGTTGGAGCAGTATGATAGTAGGACCCATGACCTTTGGAGGTGGTGAGGGCTTCACCACTAGTGGCCTTCAAGAGAAAACTGGACAATCATTCCATCAGATTGGATTGGATTGGGATTCCTGCCTTGAGCAGGGGGTTGGAATCGATGGCCTTGGCATCCCCTTCCGACTCCATGATTCTATGGCTTTATGATTCTATGAGCATCAACAGAGTTAAAAAAAGCTTGCTTTCTGTTTTATTTTATTTTTTAAACACTTCAGCTGGGTGGTGACACATTCTATTTTGGGTTTTGCTTTGATACACCCCATTGTGGGCTCTGCTTGGGTGGACCTTAGTTCTGCTTTGTTTTTGTGCTGAATTGTGGGTGTGATTGCGCTTTGGTTAGGTTTCCTTCTTGAGCATTTTCACTGCTGATCCGTCTCCACCTCTCCATGCCGTGTGGATGGAGGAAGAGTAGGAGACAAGGACAGTAGCCATCTAAAAGAGGGTGGAGGAGACAGGCAGAAGGAGAGGACCCTCTGTGTTGGGAGTGAGGCATCAGGGACCGATTTTGGATGTATTTGGGCAAGTGGTATTGGAGCAACATGGGATATCCCAGTATAACCAGCGGTGAACTCCTTCTCCCCTGTAGAGGCCAATTTTGGGTTATGTGTTCAAATCTGCAGCAGAAAATGACTAGGATGACCCAGAACAACGAGAGGAAACACCATGGTATGGACAAACTCTATCCCTGGTGAACGTTTCTCAGTGTGGTGTTGACTGCTGGGTTCTTCTCCTTGCATGTCCCCTTCAGGGGCCGGCCACTGGCAAGTGGCGCGTCGGACGGCAGAGGAAACCAAGATAGAATTGCTCTTTGGCACCAAAGCCTCACAGGTCAGGTGGAAGGCGGAAGGTGTCCTGACGCTCCGGCATCTGGATGAGAAAACCCTGGATGGCAGTCACCTGGTGAGTGGGAAATGGAAGGTGACCGTGCATTCTGCTGGGCAGGTGGTCTCTCAGACATCCTGGGGCAAATCTGAGTGTCTTGTTGGATGATTTTAAGTAACTTTCAAAAGGAGGAGGAAGAAGCAGAGAGAGAGAGAGCTTGTTTAGGGACTGCTGCACCTGTCTGAGAGACCACATCACCCTCTATGGCCTGGGCATTAAGATCCTCAGGGGAGGCCCTTCTCTCAGCCCCACCACCCTCTGCGGCCTTGTTTGGTGGGGGAAACATAGGAGAGGGCCTTCTCTGTGGCTGCTTCCAGAGACGGTGGAACTCCCTCCCACTGGAGGCCGGGCTGGCCCCGTCTAGGCTCTCCTTCTGCAAGCAGGCAAAGGAGGCCTTCCTCTTCAAGCAAGCCTTCCCTTCATATCTGTGGCTGCCTGAGTGGGGTTTTTCAAATTGGATTGTTGTGTTCCTTTGCTTTTAAATGTGTTTTTAGTATTGATTTTTATTACCATTTGTTAATGTAAGGCTGGTTTAATCCATTTTAGTATTTTACTTACTGTTTTTAGTTTTATGTATTGTCTTTTTAATTATGTAAGTCACCTTGGGTCCTTTTAAGGAGGAAGGCAGGGAATAAACCAACCAATTGATGGATGGACAGACAGACAGACAGACTGATTTGATGGATGGATGGATGGATGGATGGATGGATGGATGGATGGATGGATGGATGGATGGATGGATAGAGAGATAGAGGGATAGATAGACGGATAGACAGACAGATGGACAGACGGATAGATGGACAGATGGACGGACGGATGGATAGACAGATACTTGCCTATTCACAAATGTAAAGTTTCCAAGCTCCGGTCTCTCTCGCCCACTGACTCTCCAGTCAAAGACAGATAGATGGGCAGATGGACGGACGGACAGATAGATAGATACTGGCCCATTCACAAATGTAAAGTTTCCAAGCTCTGGTCTCTCTCGCCCACTGACTCTCCAGTCACACTCCAAAGCAGTTTCCTCCAGCCACGTACCTTTCTCTACCATAAGAAAATGATGGGCTATGAAAAGAAATGTCTCAGTGGGGCTGTGGCTGTCAACCTGCCTTGGGCCCCATTCCGGTCACTTGTGCCGCGTGCCCTTCTTCCACCTCTGTCACGTCCCCTCCGGCACTTATTTCCCTCCAGAATAAAACAGAGCCTGAAACCCCTCTTAAGAAGCTCCTTGCCTTCATCGTTTTGACTGCCCTGTTTGGGATTGGGGAAGGCCAGGAGATGGATGATGGACGGATCGCTTTGAAGGAGGCCCACCCGATGGCTCTTCTGAAGAGCATAGAGCTTTTCCTTTTTGCCTCACTTGACCGTCTGTCCAAATCTTTCATTTTCTGGCTTCTTATTTCCAGATTAAGCTCCACCATGTGAAAATCCCGTCGGATCTCTGCTCGGTGAACATAAGCAACCAAAACTTTGTCTCGGTGAGTCAAGATGGGCCCAGATGGGTGGAAATGCTGCGTGACAAACACCACGGAGATGCCCAGGATGCGTTATGATGGGGTTTTTTTTGGGGGGGGCAGGCTCACTTTTGGAAGAAAGATGCAAAACGGGAATTTAATTTTATTCTGGTGTGATCCTATATATAGTTCTCCATTTATTGCAATGCCAGCCGTTCCGAGTGGAGATTACTACTAAGTCGGGCGGTCGATAGATGTTAACATTCAACTTTTCTTCTCCATTTAATCCATTTGAGGGGGAGGGAGAGGAGCTGCAGTTTTTGAATCCTGGTGCTCTCTTACTTTATTTTTGTTAGATTTTTTTTAAAAAAAACCCATTACAATCTGATATACATTTAGAAGCCACTTTAGGAAAGTTGGTGGTAAAGAGCCGGCAGCAGGATCTTGGCAAAGTGTTTTTTTGTTTTGTTTTTTTTGGGGGGGATTTCAGCTTCCCCAACAGCAGGGAGATGGGAATCTGAGAAGGAACTCTTCTGAGTAAGTGAAACGGGGAAAGACGGCGTCCAGGTCCCCATTTTGCAACACACACGGGGTTCTGTGCAGTGTAGACCTACCGGTATGTAGGGCCACAACATTACCTCCTGGGTCTCATGGCTGCTTTTCATTAGCAAAGAGCATACTTGTCCAGCGTGCTCTTGCCAACATACGTTGCAAGGGGTTAAAGGATCAGGAGTGATCCGAGACCTGCCTACTTGTGGGGTTGTATGTGAGCAATCAAATACCCACCTCTTTGCCGTTGCTGATCTTTTCAGCAAACAAGCGCCTGGACATTTATGGAGGAATTCCTGAGCTTCTGTGAATCCGTCTTGAAAAACCACAATCACCCCTCTGTGCTTTAGGTGCCTGCCCCAGACCAGGCAAGACTTGAACCCTAAGAAGTGCTGCAGTTCATGATTGCAGGACCTTTGGCAATGCCGTTCATCCAGATTCTAAAATGCAGAGCAGAACTCTGTGCGACGCAGCAGGTGTCAACGCTTCCGACAGCCTCCTTTTCCATCGCCTCTGGCTGTTTCCCCAAAGATAGCAGAAGGAGCGGCTTTCCTGGAACCTTTATTGGGCTAAATCCCACTGTTAGAAAATGTGGGCTGAGCTTATTATCAACGCAACTGGTTTTGTTGGTCGCCCACCTCTCTCCCGAGAGGATTCAAGGAGCTCTTTTTTCCTATCTTTCCCATTTTTTGACAGGCCAAAGAAGAAGACTTTGAGGCATTTACCTCTGTTGCCTACATCAATGCCACGGAAAATCTGCTGACGTTAGGTAAGGGAAGCACAGCCGTGTCCATTGATCCCAACATCAGGCTTCTTCGTTTACTGAGCTGAGTGGAACCGACACGAGGGCAGCGTTGCAGTTAGGAGCTGGCAAAACATGACTTTTCCGAACGCCTGTTGCTCCAGAGCTTTGGAGTCTGCCCAGTCCGGCTTCCTCATGAGCCCTTGCTTGTTTTTTGTTGAGGTGTCGGAAACTGAGGAGCAGCAAACGCAGCATAGGTTCTGCTTTTAACCGCAAAGCAGCCTTCTCTTCCGCGTCTGCCCTCATTCCCTTGCAGTCCACACGGTCCATATCATGCCCTTCAGAGGGGACATTTAAGTTCTCTCGAAGCATGGATCTTATTGTAAGTCTCCACCTGACGGCATCTCCCTTCCAACCCCTTCTTTACCCCTATTTCCTCGTATTTTTGGATCTCTCTCCCACCCTCTGGTTTATATTTTGTTCTTGTCGACTTCGGTAGAGGACATTCATTTCACATCTGTATGAAAGGCGGCTTCCTTTAACAGCTGGGGCTTGGAAACTGTTGACTATTCTTACTGGGGAGATGCCATAAATAAGATTGCTTGCACGCTTTTCACTCAGTAAAAATCATCCCATACTTAGTGTGCTTAATGCAAATTAATTGTCACTGTATTTTGTAAGCCGCCCAGAGTAGATTCCCAAATCTAGATGGGTGGGGTAAAAATGGAACAAATAAATAAACCCACATTTAAGAGAGAAATCCGTGTTAAATTTGGCTACCTTTCCGAGCTGTGCCCCTGGCCCCAAATTTATTTCATTATGCCAAGTACAGTAGTTACTTCTGTTGTGAGTCGAAGTCTTGCTTCCCACCCCTTTTCTCATTTGTGTGTTGTGTGTCCATGCAAATAGATTGTAAAAGAGATACACAGATGATGATGAAGGGATTTGAGTACGGTACTTCTACTGGGTGTTTGCTGGATATTGAGATCAGCAGAAGAGGCCTTTCTCTCAGTCCCACCACCTTCAGTGGGAACACAGCAGAGGGTCTTATCTGTGGCTGCTCCCAGACTGTGGAACTCCCTGCCACTGGAGGCCAGGCTGGCCCCCATCTTGGCTGTCCTTCCACAAACAGGCAAAAAAGACCTTTCTCTTCAGGCAAGCTTTCCCTCACTGGCTGGCTACCTGAGTGGGAATTTTAAATTCATTGTTATGCATGACTGCTTTGACTGTATTTTTTTATATTGCTTGTTTACGATTTCATGATTGTAATGATTCATATTTGTATACTTATTGTTTTTAGCTGTACAAATTGTCTGTTAATGATATAAGCTGCCTTTTAAGTCCATCGATCAATCCATTCTTGCCCACCGATCCAAAACGCTGGCCACCTCCTGACGGATCTGTCCCATTAACTTTGTCCTTTGTCTTTCTCGAAATGCCCGTCTAGAAGCTTTCCGTAAATTTCCTGAGCTGCGGGAACTGGAGCTTTCCTTGAACGGCCTGAGAAATCTGAAAATCAATGCTGGAGACTTTCCACACTTGGAAGTAAGATTTAAAGGGGTTTCCTTCCGTGCAAAAGCCGGGGGAGCCAGCATCTTCTGTACAAATGTCCTGGGATGGAGAGAAGGAATGAGCCGCCAGTACAGAAAGAGTTAAACACCCCATCGTTTTTGACGCTCAATCCCACTTTTATCAGTAGCTTTCAAAGGGTTCTCTAGATGTTTTCCTTTGTATGCCAAAAGCTCCCGTTTTAATGCTTCCCCCCCTCCTTTAAATTCAAACATGACTAAAGTTCTTGTCTGGATTTTGTATAGCCACAATCAAATGTTTTTGGTATTGTTTGGATTTAATATTTTTAAGTTTGGAAACCTAGAAACGATGTCAATAAATAGAACTTGTACAGAATCAACAAGTTTTGGAATTACTTGGAATTACTGCAATTGACAGTCGTGGCCCAAAATATTGGGTACCCTTGCCGTCCTGTCTGAAAAGGCAACCCTTCTCTCAGAAAATATTTGCCATTGCAAATGTTTTGGTACTCACGGGTTCATTTCTTTGGTTTGCGTTGGAACAACACACAAAAACAGAGAAGAAAAGTCAAATCTGATACAATCCCACACAGAAACCCCAAAAAGCACTGGCCAAAATTATTGGCACCCTTAACTTAACTCATCAGGATCAGGAGATGTGGTATGTATGGTTCTCATATGATCCAGGTTAGGATTGGAATGACTTTGTATCATTCCTTTTTAAAATACTGTATATAGATTTTTTTGATATAGCCTCCCTTAAGGTCTCAGGTGGGAAAAGATTGCGTGCAGAAATAAACATGAAATCTCCAGCACTTGATTGAAATGTTAAAATAACAAGTGCTGGTTATTTTCTCATTCCTTTTGTGACATCCCTATAACTTTTATTGTTACAGGGTAATGGTTGTGTTCCACAGCTCACACCCTGTCACATTTTGATTCCCCCAAACCCTCTAGAGGTCCCCAAACTTGGCCCTCCAGATGTTCCTGGACTACAACTTCCAGAAGCCTTCACCACCACCTCTGCTGGCTAGGAATTCTGGGAGTTGAAGTCCAAGAACATCTGGAGGCCCGAGGTTGGGGACCACAATAAATGGAACTGTTCTAGTCACTTTTGAATAACAGTGAAGGGGGGGAACAACTTCTTAAAGGATGATGATGATGTTGATAATGCAGCTAATTAGTTTCTGAAGACTTAGGGCTACCACTGGAATGGATTCTTTGTAAAGCATCTGTGAAAATGGGCCGTTAGGGCTTCCTTCGAATAAAAGGGTACTTATTTGAGTTGGTTGGGGTTGAATGCAACTGGATCATCACCACAGGGGAGAGGCAGGTAAAAGTGCCTCCCCCAGGAACCCTGTTTCGGAAACATTCAGCCTGTTTCCCCCCTCCCCCCCTCTCCAGTTGCAGCTAGATCTAAAAGCTTCGGCAATGGTGATGAACCACTTAAATAAGGTCACCCACCTTTTAATGCTTTCGACTGCCTGTTTTTCAAAACTGGTCATGAATTTGTAGTCACTTCTGGCTTCAGTTTGGAGTTCAATTCCCCCCACGGTGCCTCCCAGAAGAGCCAGCCTGGATGGCCTTGGGCCAGCAGTACCTTGGTCCCAGAGCGCCCCCGGAGGAAGGAAAGGGTAAAGCACTTCTGAATACTCTTTCTACCTGGAAAAGGGTCACTCTAAGTCAGACTTGATGGTATAACAATATTATTCAAAAACTCCAGGCACAGTCAACATTATAAAAACATTGACTGGTATTATAGAACAGATACAAGTTTTAACCAAAAGCCTAAGTATTGGTGTGTAGGTATGCTGTTCCTAATATTTTTGTTGTAAGTATGCTGTTCCTAATATTTTTGTAGCTCTGCTGATATGATTTCCGAGATCTGCTTATAACACTGTGTGACGTTTCTTGATACTGTTCCCAAAGCCCCGATGATGATGGGGACCACGGAAGGTTGTTTCTTCCAGAGGCGAGATCTTTTGATGGCCAGGTCTCTGTCCTTGGTTAGTTTTTCCAATTCTTTATCTTCCACTCTTTATCTTCCCCTGGAATGGCAATGTCAATGATCCGGTCATTTCTTGGTTCTATTACTACTATGTCTGCTGTGTACATTCATGGTGTTTATCTGTTTGGAACCAGAAATCCCACAGGATCTAAACATCATCATCATCATCATTATTGGACATTTTGGGCAGTCCGGGAGGCCCCTTATGGTTTGCAGAAAATGGGACCCTGGAGCCACCAAAGTTGCCCACCCCTTGTTAATTAGGTGGCTGGGTTTTTGTTTCTCCTTGCCACAAAACAGTCTGCTTCTTCTGTACACCAGGTCCTCGATCTATCGTATAACAACCTGTCCCCTGAGGACGTCCAGGTCTTGGGAGTTTTGCCCCACCTTAAAGTTCTCCATCTCACCGCCAACGGGCTGAATTCGCTTCCACTGGACCTGGCCGTCCCTGAGAGGTAAGCCCACCCAGAGATCAAGTTGGCAACCATGGTCTAGGTAATATGAAGCCAAACCAGGATCCCTGCCTCCCTGTGAATTGTTTTCGTGCGCAGTCTGTCCTATGCTTGGCCCTTGCAGGGAGTGTGATAGTATGGGATTACTCTTGTGTTCAGTGCATGCGGCTGCAATTCTCTTAGCTCAGCCTTCCTGAACACAATGGGACTGACTTAATTTTAAGTTACCGTGGAGCAGTTTGGATGGTTTGTAAACATGGAAACCTTGCAAGAATACATCAATGTAGGTCATGAGTAGGAGGTGGGGGTGGTTCTAAAACCCTTGAGCAAAGTCTGAACCGTCAACTGGCCTTCCCGTTTGGCCCACTGAGCCCTAGCCAAGGCCTACACCTTTTCTGTGTTCTTTGGGAAAAGCGAGAAAAGTCTAGTTTTCTTCCCCCTCCCTGCGATCTTCCCCACCTCGGCTCAGCTCCCTGGAAAGCAGAGGAGTGACAGAGTGAAGGGAGCTGCTCCAGCTACAGCCCCAGGAGGATTCTGTTCCGGGCTCTCTATTCTAAGCAAACAAACAGAAAGTATAGAGGAAGGAAAAGGTGATGGGACAAAAAGAGAGAGAGAGAGAGAGAGAAAGGAAAAGGTGACAGGGGCAAAAGAGAGAGAGAGAGGAGACGTAATAATAAGGAAGATCCGTGCATGCGTCTGTGAGTGAGAGAGAAAGGGAGAGGATGCCATCGGGGTGAGCCAGCATCCAACTCTGCATCTCTGCAAAGACTTGAAAGGTCATCCTACAGAGTTGGGGCAGGATCTGTTCCCCATCATCCCAGAGTGCAAGACAGGTCCTAATGCAATCCAGCGACAGGAAACCAGATTTTGGCTGACGATCAAGGATAACTTCCTAACTGTTAGAGCAGTATGACAGTGGAACCCAAGACCTCGGGAGGTGGTGACCCTCCAACGCTGGAGGCCTTCAAGACAAGACTGGACCACCCTCTGTCAGATCTGCTTGGATCTGGATTCCTGCCTTCAGCAAGAGGGTTGGACAGGATAGCCTCAGAGACCCTGCCAGCTCCATCGTTCTAGGGTTCTAGGATTCTCTGGTCTTTTGGGCTTAAATGGCCTCAGAGACCCTTCCAGGTCCATCGTTCTAGGCTTCTAGGATTCTCTGGTCTTTTGGGCTTAAAAAAGGTTCCTCATCAGGGTTTTAGATCCCTTTTTCCTCCCTCCCTTGGCTTTTCTCGCGCCTTTGCCGTTTCCAGACATGTTTACGCTTCCCTCCCCAGTGAGAGCTGCCCTACGTTCCCAGCTCTGGAAGTTTTACTGTTGGACGACAACCACTTGTCTCACCCAAATGTCTTTGTCAGCCTGGCCAACCTCCGAAGGTAAGGGAGACGTTGTCGGGAACGAGCTGTCCCCGTGTCGTTCGCTAAGCCCCAAAAGGTGTGGCTTTGGGCCAATCTGCACAGTCCTTGGGCTCCCCCAGAAGGAGGGAAGGGAAGGGTAGACCCCCTTCTGTGTATTCTCTTTCCTGGGAAACCCTGGGGAGGGTCCCCATGTGTCCGAATTGACCTGATGGTGCGCGGTTTTTATTATTAAGCCTAAATGGGATGGATTATTTTCATCTCTTTCCATCTGGTTTCACTGTCAGTTTTACTGGCCCTCTCAAAGGCTTTCATACCTGGCAAAGAGGGGGGAAATAAGATATATACCGTATTTTCCGTGTATAAGACTATAGTTTTACTGGCCCTCTCAAAGGCTATCATACCTGGCAAAGAGGGGAAAAATAAGATATATACCATATTTTCCGTATATAAGACTATACTTTTGTCTAAAATCTTTAGAATAAAATTGAGGGTCTTCTTATACACGGAAGTAAGCTGAGGAGAGAACAAAAACAAGTGGAGGGGAAAGCAAGGATCAAAGCGATTCTGCAGCACTTTTATCCCTTCCCCCCTACACTTGCTAAGCCCCACTTAGATTTCTTAATTTTGGATGAGAAAAGTGAGTGGCATCTTATACATGGAGGTGTCTTATACACAGGAAAGTAGGTATATATTTTTAAAAAGACAAAAACGTGGCATCTTAAAGACTAAGGGGAAAATAGGTATATATTTTTATAAAGACAAAAACATTGTGGCATCTTAAAGACTAACTGGCCCATTTTAATGCAAGCTTTCCACTTCTTCAAGACCTATCTAGCGGAACACAGTACGGTGGTGCCTCGCTTGACAAGGATAATTCGTTCCATTGAAACCGTTGTTAAGCGAAATCCTCGTCAAGCGAAACGAAAAAGCCCTTTGAAATGCATTGAAAACCGGTTCAATGCATTCCAATGGGCTAAATACCTCAGCGTCCAGCGAAGATCCTCCATAGGAGCGGCCATTTTCGGTGCCTGTAAAGTGAGGAATCCGTCCTAAAGCACAGCAGAGAGCCATTTTGCACAGCAGGCGGCCATTTTAGAGCCGCCAATCAGCTGTTTTGGAAATATCATCTAGCGAAAAATCGGTTCCCAAAGCAGGGAACCGATCATCGTCAAGCGAAATTTCCCTATCTAAACGGTTTTGCAATCACTATTGCAAGCTCAAAAACCTCATCGTAAAGCAGATTCATCATTTAACGAGGTAATCGTTAAGCAAGGCACCACTGTAAATACAGAGTTCACAAGTGAAACATTCATGCCGGCTTTGAGAGTCTATGGTATAGGATGGCCTTTAGGATCATTGGCTATCATGTTCTGCTGAGTCAGCTTTCTGAGATGGGCATTGGGGACACTGTTTTTCCAGCCACTCTGGTCCTTCTTAGAAGGACTGGGGAATTCTTGTTTGACGCCTTGACCTTTGGCCTGTGAAGCCCTTCAGGGTTTAATCCTGTCCTCCATGCTGTTTCCCACATACCTGAAACCTCTAGGAGTGGTTTCTCCAAAGTTCTGGGGTTCGATGCCACCCATATTTTGATGACCCTCCCGACTCTTGTTTGTCTTTCCTTTCTGATTCCAAGGAGGCTGGGAATTCTTGGCGCCCTAGGAAAGCCTTTGCAAAAACTCTTGCCCTCCCGTTTAATGGCTACGACTTTGTCTCCTCAGCCTGAAGCAATTAAACTTGGACAAAAACGGCATTAAGGAGGTCCCGTACCTCCATCACATCAACCATTCCCGTTTCTCCATCCATCCTTTATCAGCCAAGTCCGGCATCAAAGCAGGGCTCCGTAGCCGGAAAACAGCGAGGAAACGGCTCAGCCCGGACGGGTCCCGGAGGTTCTGCGAGAAACCCGAATATATCATCCTGCACAGCACCAGGGATCCTGACAGGACCGGTGGGTCCAGAGCGTTGATGTTGTTCTATTTCTTGTCACGGTACAATTCAGAACCCACACTCCACCTCCATCGTTCCACTGAAAGCGGTTCACAGAACCCACGAACCAGCAGATTCCCCATCCCGTCCTGACACTGACAGCAACATCTCAACATGGAGAAATCCAAAACAATGCATGGGGCCACTTTACAAAATGGAAAGCCCCCAGCATTTTTTTTTCTTTCAAGCCATGTTGTTTAAATGGAAAAGACCTGCTTGTTCCCCCAGGTCTGACTGTATTTTTTAAATAAAAGAAGTGGGCAAAAGCAGCCGCCCCCCCAACTCCCTACAGAGCGGAAGGGAGGTGTGTAGCGCTGCTTGGGGGCTGGGGGGGATGCCTTTGGGCCTCTGAGGACGGTGTATGGCCCATGGGGGGGTTTACTTAAAACCCATTCCCTTTGGGGCCCCGTTGCGTGTCACTCATACGCACGGTCGCACAAAGAGCAAGAGCCCCGCTTTCCTTTTACGATCTCCTTTGTGAGCCGTTCTCTCTCCTGGCATCTGACTTTTTTTGCTCTGCCCTAGGGGTGGGCAGTGTGTGTGTGTTGGGGGGAACCTGTTGGATTAGGGTGGCATGGGAGTGGCATGGCATTTTAGCCTTTCAAGGCTGCCTGGCTACCTTCCCCCCGTCTCCGGCAGCCTGATTTTAAACTTTTTATCTTTCCCTCTCTCCCTGCTAGAGGTTGTCTTTCCATCTTGGTCTCCGGAGCCGACCGAGCAGGTAAGCGCTTCTGCCTTTTCTCTGATCCTTTGCCGGCTTCGGTGGGGNGGGGGGGGGGGTGGTCTGCCCGCCAAAGCCAAAGAAATGGAACTGTTTTGTCTTCATTCCAGTGGCGCTTCTGCAGGAGAAATTCTTGATGGCTTTGCACTTTTGTTCTTGCTCCAAATAATGGGTTTTTGACAAGCCATCCCAGTAATTAAATTAAAACCCTTCATGAGCTTGCTTGGGCTTTAGGATCATCCGGAGAGGCCTTTCTCTCGGTCCCGCCACCTTCACAGATGCGTCTGGTGGAGATACAGGAAAAGGGCCTTCTCTTTGGCAGCTCCCAGACAGTGGAACTCCCTGCCACTGGTCTCGTCTTGGCTGTCCTTCCACAAGCATATTCTCTTCAGGCAAGCTTTCCTTTAAATTGGCCTATTGACCAAGAGGATTTTTAAAGGGATAATTGAACTTTGTTGTTTTACTTCTGCTTTTAGCATTGCTCTTATTGATGTGTTTTGATAAGAGATTTGTTTTAATTCTTTTCTTATATTGTAATTATTTATTATTTTAGGTTTTAACTTTGTTTCTTTCAATACAGTGGACCCTCAACTTACAGACAGCTTGACTTACAGACTTTTTGAGTTACAGACTTCTCTGGCCACAAAATTTAGGTTTGACTTGCAGCCTGAGAATTGACTTACAGACCAGAAAAAAACCAAAATGGAACAAAAACGGCCTGTTACGGGATTAATCGGTTTTCAATGCACTGTAGGTCAATGGAGACTTGATCTACAGACTTTTTGACTTGAGAACCGCCTTCCAATACGGATTAATTCTGTAAGTAGAGGGTCCACTGTACTGTAAGCTGCCTTGGAGCCTTTGGGAGAAAGGCAGCATCTAAGTCCTTTAAATAAAATAAAAATAAATAAATAGAGCCCAGGAGGTAAATCCAGCAGTCTTGTGGCCAAATGGAGTTAAAAATGGCATTTCAGCATGAGAATCTTTCCTTGGATTTTCCCACCAACGAAACAGGAACCTAAGACCCCTGCGAGTTCTTCCGTAAAGTAGACTCTAACCCTCTCCGCACACCTTGTTTTGCCTAAAGCAACGTGTGCAGTTTCTTTTTACACCAGAAGTTACTTTCTGTTCTCATATCTGAATGTTCATAGCAGAAACTGGGGCTGAATAAATGCCCCCCACCCAATGCTCAGAGGCAAAACTTTGACCCCTGTTGGTTTATCAGGAAGCTAAGCAGATTTGGCTCCAATGACTTTGGCTTGGGGGAAACAGGGTTTTACTTCCCTGTGAACGTAGACGTACAACTTTGCATTCTCAAGCCAGGAAGAACATGAGATTTGGGTCTCCTGGGCTTTCGTGTCTGTCTGGTGGGCTGCTTGTCAGATCACAGGGCCTGAAATCCTGATCCGTCATCTGACATTCGCTGCAGATGAGCATCAGCCACTCAGTGGTAGAGGGTCCTGCATGCTTTGCACACCCAAGATTTCTGATGAATCCTGTGAGCTCTCCAGTTTGGAGAGAAGTGGTCAGGGGTCAAGGCTGGGAGAGATCCAGGACAAGGCGAGATAAGGTAGTTATCTGGTGGGCTGCCGGCTGTCAGGAGTTCTCCCAGTGGAATCTTTACGTTTATCCAAGAGTTATGCTAAAGGGCAAGAAATTAAGATCTCAGGAAACGGGCTTTTGGGACTCTCTCCCCAATGGAGCTGTTTGGCCTTGTAGGGAGAGGCAAGTTGCTGGCTAGCAAAGCGGTCCACTAAGCAACAGGATGATGGACTGGGAAGGTTTCTTTGCCAAATCGGAAAACCCGGAGCCCGAATCTCTTAAAGAAACCGGTAGAATGTTATAGACTCAATAACGCAGGTGGTTCCCAAGATGTTCTTGGACGATAGCTCCCAAAAGCCTTCACCACCGGCTGTGCTGTGAATCTCTTAAAGAAACCGGTAGAACGTTATAGATTCAATAACGCAGTGGTTCCCAACCTGGGGTCTTCAGATGTTCTTGGACGGGAGCTCCCAGAAGCCTTCGCCACCGGCTGTGCTGGCTGGGTTTTCTCCTACAAACTATTCACCCCAGTGAACGTTGAAGGGTTTTGTTTGCTTGGGGGGTGTAGGGTTGTATCTGGTCATCTTTTTTTCTCCTACAAACAATTCACCCCGTGAACACTGGGTTTTTTTTGTTGTTGTTGTTTGTTCGGGGGTGTAGGGTTGTATCTGGTCATCTTTTATCTCTCTCTCTCTCCCTCTTTTACAGGAGGATTCGGCGCCACCACATCATGTTCCTGAGACTTCTTCTGCCAGTGACGTCAGCTCAGAGTTCACGCTTCCCTTACCGGAGCTGAGGTTTCTCAGCCTGGCCAACAACCAGGTGATCGGCCATGCTTTCCTCCGTCGTTCCTAAGACAGATTCCTCTTTTGTAATCTAGTAACCAAGCTTGGGGCCGGGATGTGGTGGTGCTGCAGGTTAAACCGAGCTGAGGTTTCTCAGCCTGGCCAACAACCAGGTGATCGGCCACGCTTTTCTCCATCGTTCCTAAGACAGATTGCTCTTTTGTAATCTGGTAACCAGGCTTGGAGGTCTGGGACTCACCAGGATCTTGTAGAGCCATAGAGACCGAGCAGGATCCTTGGAAGACCAGCCTTCGTAAGATCGAATCCATGCAACAGAGTGGGCTCCCATTGCTTGTCCCAGCTCCTGCCAACCTAGCCGTTCGAAAGCATGTAAAAATGCAAGTCAGTAAATAGGCACCACCTCAATGGGAAGGTCACGGCATTCCATGTCTAGTCACGCTAACCATGTGACCATGGAAACTGTCCATGGACAAAACGCTGGCTCTATGGCTTGGAGATGGGGATGAGCACCGCGCCCTAGAGTCGGACACAACTGGACTCAATGTCAAGGGGAACCTTTGCCTTAACCAAGCTTGGAGGTCTGTGACCCACCAGGATCTTGTAGAGCCATAGAGACCGAGCAAGATCCTTGAGTGGGGGTGGGGGAGTGGGGAAAGGTCTTCAGCTGCATGTGGCCCCCCAATGGCTCACTTGGATGTATACCCTCAGTACCCCAAGAGCAATATGTTCTTCCAATGCCCAGTTTTATTTTGCTTACTAGATTGGAAACCTCTGTTCCGTGCAAGAAGTTTCCGTGCTTTAATATGGCTTCTTACAACTTGTTGGCAATCATGGATCAGAGATATGGGAAGAAGAAACATGGGGGCCGGGTGGGGATTCCCTGCCAGCCGCATGGCTACAGGCGCCCGGGACTGGACTTAGACCAGCCCTCACTGCTCAAGACAGAATGTTAGCAGCCCTGAAAAATCTCTCTTCCCCCTCCTGCTTCATACCTCCGGCGAAGGAGGTAGAGCAGATTTCTGGCTGACTCGCAACAGATCAGCCCTGGAATTTTGCTTTCCGGCTGTCTCCCTCCCGTTGCTGTACCTACATAAAGAAGGGGACAGGAAGCTTGGCGTATAGTTCTTCAAAAAGCGTAGTTCTTTGAAAAACCTCCACTTAAAAGAGATGGGAAATTCCTAGAAGGCTAATAAGCTCAGGGGTTCTCTTTACCCTTCTGCATTTGCAGAGCAGGTCTCTTGGCCCCTCTGAACCTCTAGTGTGGGGCTTATGTCAGCCAGGGGCTCAACATTACTGGGTTTTTTTTCCTGGTGGAAGCTCAGCATGTCAAGGAACTACAGCAGTTCATGTAGTAAAATTTTCCAGGGTTCTGGGTTGGGAATCTTCTACCTGACCTGCAGATCTTCTCTATGGGGACAGGATTTGTTTATTGTGTGGAAAGACACGCCATCCTCCGAATTCTCTTCTTTAGCTTTGGAGTGGCACAGCACAGGAGGACGCGGCTTCCACCTTATGCCCAAGTGTGTTGTTTGTCCCTTCCGGCGTTGGCAGCCGCCACTCTTGCCCCTGACGAAAGCCCTGATGGCGTGCGCCTCTGTTTTCTGGCTTGCAGATCGAGCATGAGGAGGATTTGCTCGCTGTGGCCCTCTTCCCGTCTCTGACCGAGCTGACGTTCTACGGCAACCCTTTCACCATTTCACGGAGCGGTACGGTCTCCACCTGCCAGCAATGTTTGGGGTTTTGTCAGGGCAGCTGCTAAGTGGAAAGAAATCATTGGGGGTGGCAGCAGCCAGCACAGGGAGAATGGGCCTTGCAGGCTATGCTTTCAACCTCATTGGTTCCCCTTCTGGTGATTGCAAAAGGAGTTCTTGTAAGCTGAACTCTTATTTTCCCATTCAGCTCCATCTGGAATTTGGGACCTTGTTCCCTAGAGGGGTTCCGTTATTATAAATTAAACCTCTTCCCTCTTTTTGCTTCTGTTCCCCACCTTCTCTCTCACACTGGCTTGCTGGGCACTCCCTCTCACCCCCTCTGTTTTCTCTCTTCTCCCTCCCACTTCTGTTCTCTTGCTATCTATGATATTTTTAAAAATCGTACGTATATATATTCTGGAAGAAGGCTAGTCTAGCTGTTTCCTCCTTCAGAAGTTGCTCTGCAGGCTGGGGCCAGCCGTTCTCTCCCTTAGATGTCTTTTTTCTTCTTTCATGTGAGCGAGTGTTCGGAAGTGTTGTGTCCCAGCTGCAGCTGAACAGAGCATCACCTCCTGCTTTGAGATGAGCCATGTCAGGAGGCCTGGCCTCTAGAGCTTGTGATGGCTTTCCATTTCCCACTCTCTCAGCCCCTCGTGGCATTGTGTGGTGGCCCACGTCTGATAGGGTCGCTCTCTGTAATGGGCGTCCAAGATATCCCCAGAAAGAGCTCGCTCTAGGCCTTCCTTGCCTCCCGGTTGACTTTGCAAGAAAGTCTTCTGCATCGCAGAAGCGGAACGGTGGCCGTCCCTCAGCTGTTCTTGCCAGGCCTCTCCTGATCCCCTTGGTGGGATGAGAGAGAGAGCTAAGGCAGGATCCCATGACATCAACGGCATGCACAGCGCACAGAAGGAAGGCTTTCCTTGTCAAAGGCTGTAGCCAGGTTAACGAGGATTTAGCAACCACGGCTCTGCCAGGTAGACCGCCGACACTGCTTACATCGCAGCTCCTTCCTGGGAAGCTGCAGAGACTGGAAGGAAGTACAGGGCAGAACCGAACTCTCGGCTTCCACCATCCCAGGCGGAAACCTTTTCTCCAAGAAAGCAGTGACAGTCCAAAAAGGGGAGGTGCTAGAATTATTTCAAAAACAAGAGACCAAAACATGGTCACCTCATAAAGATTACCTCTTATATTTTAACATGAGTTACCGTGGGTCAAGCCCTCTTCCTCAGACGTAAGAGTGAGATGATAACGGCTGTCACGTTTATGCATGTTCCCATGACTACATGGGGATCCAGATAACAGACAAAGTTACGGTGGTTCGTTAGTACTGTAAAGGAAAAGGCTATCTAGCTGTGACTAAGAATACACGGGTGTCAAACTGTGTGAATCAATGTGGCCTTTCAGACTTGCAAATGACTCAATTGATATTCAGTATTTTTAACTATATCTCCAGCATCTGTATATACCTTATTTGAGCTTTGTTTGTTTGTTTGTTTGTTGGTTGGTTGGTTGGTTGATTGATTGATTGATTGATTGACTGATTGCATTTATATGCCCCCCATCTAGACATAGTCTACTCTGGGCGGCTCACAACATACAAGATAAAAACAATTTAAAATAAACACAGTTTTACATAGACAAAAACAGAACAATATAAAATATAAAATCATAGAATTACAATTTTAACAATTAATTTGAAGCAAACAGTCCCAAGATAGCATGAATCAAAAGAAAAAGAAATAAGAACCACTTAATTGACTGAAGGGAAGGCCTGATTGAATAGCCAAGTTTTCAGCTGGCTTTTGAAAACACCCAGAGAGGGTGCCAGTCGAATTTCGGTAGGGAGGGTGTTCCGCAGCTGAGGGGCCACCGCCGAGAAGGCCCGGTTTCTTGTTTTTTCCTTCTGGGCTTCCCTCGGCGTCAGTCCCCTCAGCCGTCCCTGCTGGCTATATCTGCCAGATATTGAGGTCCTAAACTGTTTAGGGCTTTATAGGTAATCATTAACACTTTGAAGTCAAAGCGGAAACGGATGGGCAACCAGTGCAAAGCAGCCAGAGTGGGGGAGATATGTTGATGTTTTCTCA